AAAAAAAAAAAAAAAAAAAAAAAAAAAAATTGGGCAATATTTTCAAATGTAACTTGACTATATAAGAAAAACGCTATCAATCAAGAAAGGTATATAAATCGAAATGACTTGAGAGGGGCCTCATGTAACGTCAACCCAACCACCACCACATAATCTTCTTCTCTCTCTCGTGTATATATTAAACAAAAACGTGTTGCTGCCCGAACATTATTTCAAACTTTTTTTTTATTTTTTATTTTTTAATAATACTATATTATAAATATGAGGAGGGAAATAAATCTAGAAATAGAAAATCTAGATAAGTTAGGTATAATGTTCATATTATTCGTGTAATAGCCTAAGTTCATCGCTAGCAAATATTGTCTATTTTAGCCCTTTCCATATTTTCGTCAGTCTTACAATTTTAAAACGTTTCTACAAGGGAGTTGATGTAGTATTTCACAATCCACCCTTTTAGAGGCCAACATCTATAGCCCGATGTCCGACTCTCCGATGGACGGTGTCCATATTCTTCTTCTTCCTTGGAAATTTTAGGATTGAAGTGCAATAATGTATGCTTGTTGTATGATCTCATAATTAAGTTAATAAAAGTAAAAATACATAAATAATTGCTCTAAAGTAGCCACCAAAATATGTGCATTTTGTCGGAGGTTACAAACGCGCTCATGAAACATTTTCACTTGAGAATTATCCACATGAAACGGCACAATTCCAATGGTGGCAACATAACAGAGTTGATAAACAAACATAAAAGACTCTAAATAGACTTGGAAAACATTATAGCAAATTGATTAGGCAGAATCAACCGCATAAGCACTGGGTAGGAGGCGAGGCTTGACTAGAAGTTTAAGAGAGTTGACTCTACGGGCCGTGAGTCCAGAGTTAACAGCAGCCATGTCAACCGGTTCATCAAAACGAGTTCCAATTTCAAATGAATGAATCAGAGTTGCCAGCAGCAGATGCGTCATTTGAACTCCAATGCCCAGCCCAGGACAGGCCCTTCTTCCATACCCAAACGGGCCCAGTTCAAAATTCTTGCCACTCACATCCAACTGCTTGTGCCTACCCAGAAACCTCTCAGGCTTGAATTCCAAAGGCTCTGCCCAAACTCGAGGGTCCGTCTGTATCTTCCGAAGGTTAGTGATGAGGCGTGTGCCGGCGGCCACGTTATAGCCTCCCACCGTGCAGTCCTGGCTGAACTCTCGCACCCCCCCCAGGGGGCCTGGTGGGTACAACCTAAATGTCTCTTTCACAATGGCTTGGAGATACACCAGCTTGCTTATGTCTGATTCATCCACTACCCTTTCCTTTCCGACATGCATGTCTAGCTCCTCTTGTGCCTTTCTTAGTATCTCTCGGTTGTTCAATAATGATGAGATCGCCCATGTCACGGTGACTGTCATGGTATCAGTTCCCCCGGCAATAAGGGTCTGTCATACACACACTAATAAGTTCTCCACCAACATAAAAAAAATGTTAGAACTAAATGGAATGATGAATGCTTATGTAATATACCATGCAAGTGGCTTTGATGACTGTATCAGTATCATACCCAGCAAGGTCCATCGTTCCTTCTTCAAGAATCGAAAGCATCACATCCATGAAGTCATGTTCACCATCGGCGGCTGCGGCGGTGGAGGAGTGTCTCTTTCGGCGGTGTTCTTCCAGCCACTCCGTAATAAGACAGTCCAATTCCCTTGAAGTTGTCTTCATGGCCTTCTCATAGCCGCCCAAATCCAGCCATCTAAGAAAGGGAATGGCATCTCCCACCATAAACTGACCACCCAAATCAAAGAAATCCCTCATGGCTTTGCGGCACCGTCTCACAACCTCATCATCGCCAACGAATCTCTTCCCGCAAACCATCATCAAACTCGCATTCAAATTAATATTCCCAATCCACTCATCCATATCAACAACCAAATCTCTATTTGTGATCCACAAATCGTAAAGCTCCTTCACCGCTCTCTTCACCTCAGAAACTCTAACGTCTCTGTTCAACGCCAAACGGTGGTTGGACAGCAGTTTGGAGATTATGATTTTGCGCACGCTGCGGTAAAAGGAATCATAATATGGCCTGAACCCAAAACCGGCAAAGTTGTAGCCCAACAATTCGCCTACCACACTTTCGGGACGCGAAGAAATGACTGGATCAAGAGTTGTGTAGCACTCTTTTGCCACTTCCCAACTGCTTATAACCAGGCCTTTCCGGACACCAACTCGAATGGTGAATATTGGTCCGTATTTGTCGGCCATGTCTCCCAGTGTTTCGTAGGGGAGCTTTGGACCTACCAGCAGTCGCAGGTGGCCTATAATCGGCCATCCGCCGTCTGCCTCAGGAGGGTGTCTGCCTTTGCAAGGCCTGCCCAGCTTCTTCAAAACGAAAACAGAGAAGAGAAACAAGAGGCAGAGTCCTACTATGTTGAGGAACGGTGAAATGATTTCCATGGATGTTGTTTCAGGAAATTGCATGTCAATTGTGTCACTCACTCCAAACCTTATGTATCTATGCAAGTCTGTCAATCCTTATCCATGATACTAAAACGTGTCGAGGGATAAATTTCCACCATCTCCGACCACTACCACACAACATGACATTTATGCTGCAACAATCTGACACCATCGTAACATGTGCCAAGGATACCACATTAAAAACATCGAAACATTTTACAATTTTAAAACATACCCTTAATAACTCCAAACCCAGAACAGGGTTCGCTGAGATTACGCGTAAGCAGTAGGTAGGAGGCGTGGCTTGACGAGAACTTGAAGAGGGTTGACTCTGTGCATGGTGAGCCCAAGGTTGGCAGTCATGTCCACCGCTTCATCACAACCAGTTCTAAGTTGGAATGAATGAATCAAACTGGCTAGCACCAAGGGCGTCATTAGAAGGCTAATTCCCTGCCCAGGACAGGCCCTTCTTCCATACCCAAAGGGAGACAGTTCAAAGTGCTGGCCCTTCACATCCATGTGCTTGTGGCTGCTTAGAAACCTCTCAGGCTTGAACTCCGAAGGCTCTTGCCAAATTCGAGGGTCCCTCTGTATCTTCCAAATGTTTGTGATGAGGTACGTGCCTGCCGCGACGTTGTAGCCTCCAATTGTGCAGTCCTGGCTTACCTCTCGCGCCCCCGACAGTGGGCCTGCTGGGTACAACCTTAATGTCTCTTTGATTACGGCTTGGAGATACACCAGCTTGCTTATGTCTGATTCATCCACTACCCTTTCCTTCCCAACGTGGATGTCTAGCTCCTCCTCTACTTTTCTCAATGCCTCTTGGTTGTTCAGTAATAACGAGATCGCCCATGTTAGAGTTACCGCCATCGTATCAGTTCCCCCAGAAATAAGCGTCTGCAATAACAAAAAAAAATTACATTAGAACTTCTTAGATACTAAGTCAAAAATATATATATATATATCAAAACTAAAACATATATATCATCCTTTTAAAACGAGTAACTTGGATCTGACAGTCTACTCGTTTACTCATTTAGAGGGAAGTCTCGCTCCCACACCGCCCGATTACGGGAGAGCCAGCATCCTTGATGACACTGTCTGGTTATCGGAGAGATTTCTACACCCTTCGTAAGTCTTCGATGGCACATCGTCCCCGTTACTAGTTAGAGAGGTTATCACACCCTTCATTGGCGATGTGGGATCTTACAATCTACTTCCTTAGGAGGGAAGTCCTCGCTGACACACTATCCCGATTATTGGAGAGGTTTCCACACCCTTCATCGGTTACGAGATAGCCAGTGTCTTCGTTGGCACACCATCCCGATTACTGAAGAGACACACACCCTTCGTTTCTGTTACATTACGGGTTACCATATTTGCCCTTTTATTAAATGCAAATATATTGTATTCATTTATTATTCTTTCCTTTTATCGTTATTTCCTTATTATTTGTAATTTACCTTATTTTTGTATTCGGTAAATGATTATAAATAAGAGAACTCTCACCACCATTTGGGTGTGGTGGATTAATCAAACATTCACCTGGTATTTTCGATTTAACAACCGTGATCCTTTCTTCTCTATGGCTTCCGAATCTTGTTATCATCTTCTTCCTTTCAATACTCTAATCCATATGATCACCATCAAACTTTCTTTCTCCAATTATCTTCTTTGGAAAAGCCAACTTCTCCCTCTCCTTGAGAGTCAAGACATGTTGGGCTATGTCGATAGAACTATGGTTCCACCACCTCGCTTTGAACCAGAAACCTCCTCAACATTCAACCCCAAATATTTGGCATGGAGAGCAGCCGATCAACGACTTCTCTGTCTCCTGCTCTCCTCTCTCACTGAGGAAGCCATGGCTGTTATCGTTGGTCTCTCTACTGCACGTGATGTTTGGCTTGCGTTGGAAACTACGTTCAGCCATCAGTCAAAAGCTCGTGAACTGAGACTCAAGGAAGACTTGCAGTTGATGAAACGTGGCACAAAACCTGTTGCTGAGTATGCCCATGCCTTCAAAAAAATTTGTGACCAACTTCATGCCATTAGCAGACCCGTCGAGGACATTGATAAAGTGCACTGGTTCCTTCGTGGACTCGGCACCGAATTTTTAGCTTTTTCTACTGCTCAGATGGCTCTCACCCCTATCTCCTGTTTTGCAGATCTAGTCTCTAAAACTGAAAGTTTTGAGTTGTTCCAGCGCTCCCTTGAGTCCTCTGACTCCACTCCTATAGCATTCACAGCCACTAATCGTGGTCGCACCCATGGAAGTCACCCTGCTTCCTTTACCAACCAGCGAGGTTGTTCTTATTCTCACAAAAACAACTCTTCTAATCGAGGACGAACCCACTCAAGTCAGGGTCGTCGACCACCTCATTGCCAAATATGCCGCAAAGAGGTCCATTATGTTGACCGCTGCAACCAACGGTATGTTCGACCTGATTCTTCTCAGCTCACCTTTCTGAAGCCTTTAACACGTCATGTTCTATTGCTGGGCCCGATGCTGCTGATTGATTTCTAGACACTGGAGCTTCGGCCCATATGACTGCCGACCCATCAATTCTGGATCAGTCTAAAAATTACACGGGTAAGGATTCTGTGATCGTAGGAAACGGTGCATCCCTACCCATTACCCACACCGGTACTCTTTCTCATGTTCCAAATATTCACTTATTAGATGTCTTGGTTGTCCCTCACCTCACTAAAAATCTTCTTTCCATAAGTAAATTAACGTATGATTTTCCTCTCTCCGTTACATTTACTAATAATCTTATTACTATCCAGAATCATCAAACAGGAAGGGTGGTGGCAATCGGTAAAAGAGATGTCGGGCTCTATGTGCTGGAGCGCGGCAACTCTGCTTTTATTTCAGCCCTTAAAAACAAATCTTTATGTGCTTCATATGATTTATGGCATGCTCGTCTGGGTCATGTGAATCATTATGTTATTTCTTTTTTAAATAAAAAAGGTCATCTTTCTCTTACGTCTTTATTGCCTTCTCCATCATTATGTAATACTTGTCAACTTGCGAAAAGTCATCGATTCCTTATTCCCGCAATGAACGTAGGTCGTCTCATGTGTTAGATCTTATTCATTGTGATCTTTGGGGTCCTTCTCCCGTCAAATCAAATTCGGGTTTTCTTTATTATGCTATTTTATTGATGATTATTCTCGATTCATTTGGTTTTACCCTTTAAAATTTAAATTTGATTTTTTTGACATTTTCTTCAATTTCAAAAATTTGTGGAAAATCAATATTCTTCTCGTATCAAGGTATTTCAAAGCGATGGTGGTACCGAATTTACTAGTACTTGTTTCAAAACTCATTTACGTAATTATGGCATCCACCATCAACTCTCTTGTCCATATACACCTGCTCAAAATGGTCGTGTTGAGAGAAAACATTGTCATGTGACTGAGACTCGCTTGGCCCTTCTCGTTCACTCTCATCTTTCTCCTCGTTTTTGGGTTGACGCCTTCAGCACTGCAGCTTATATTATCAACCGGTTGCCTACTCCACTTCTTGGAGGTAAGTCACCCTTTGAACTCCTTTATGGCTATACTCCACATTATGACAATTTTCATCCCTTTGGTTGTCGTGTTTATCCTTATTTGCGTGATTATATGCCTAACAAGCTTTCTCCCCGCAGCATTCCTTGTATTTTTTTGGGTTATAGTCCTGTTCATAAAGGGTTCCGCTGTCTTGATCCTGCCACCACTAAGCTATATATCACCTGTCATGCTCAATTTGATGAAACTCACTTTCCTGCTATCCCTAGCTCCCAAGCCCAACCTCTTTCCACTATTCCTATTTCAAATTTCTTGTAACCACATCTTCATCATATTGATTCATCCCCCCTACCACTTCATCACCGCACATTCCTCAATCCAGTTCATCCCCGTGTGATATTTGTTCTGACCTTGTAGATGAGTCTATGCAGGTTGATACTTCTCTTGCAGGTTCCACTTTGCCACCCTCGACTTCTAATTCGACCTCTATTGAACCTCCTGTTGATTTCTCTTCTTTGGGCACTCATCCTATGATCACACGGGCCAAAGCTGGTATATTCAAGACTCGTCATCCAGCAAATCTTGGTATGTTGGGCTCATCTGTACTTCTCTCTACTCTTATTGCATCCACTGAGCCAAAATGATTCAAATCTGCGGCTAAGAATCCTGCTTGGGTGGCTGCCATGGATGAAGAAATTCGAGCGTTACAACAAAATGATACTTGGACTTTGGTTCCTCGCCCTGCCAACACCAACATCGTGGGCTCTAAATGGGTGTTTCATATTAAATATTTGTCCGATGGATCCGTCGAGCGTTTCAAGGCTCGTCTCGTTGCCAAAGGTTATACTCAGGTTCCTAGTCTTGACTACACTGACACATTCAGTCCGGTTGTCAAAGCTACCATTGTCCGTGTTGTGCTTTCTATTGCAGTCACAAATAAATGGCCTCTTCGACAACTTGATGTCAAGAATGCTTTTCTCAATGGAACGCTTATTGAACGTGTTCATATGGAACAACCTCCTGGGTATGTTGATCCTCGATTTCCTATGCATGTTTGTCTATTAAAGAAAGCTCTCTATGGCTTAAAGCAAGCTCCTCGTGCTTGGTTTCAGCGTTTTAGCTCATTTCTTCTCACACTTGGGTTTTCTTGCAGTCGCGCTGACACGTCCCTTTTTGTCTTTCATCAGCAATCTAACCTTATCTATTTGCTTCTTTATGTTGATGACATTATTGTTACCGACAACAACTCATCTCTTATTAACAGTTTTACTCGCAAGCTTCATTCTGAGTTTGCTACCAAAGATTTGGGTTCTCTCAGTTACTTTCTTGTTCTTGAAGCTTCACCCACTCCTGATGGTCTCTTTATCAGTCAGTTAAAATATGCTCGAGATATTCTTACTCGTGCTCAGTTGCTCAATAGCAAACCAGTTCACACTCCCATGGTTGTTTCTCAACACCTGACTGTTGATGGTTCTCCTTTCTCTGATTCTACTCTCTACAGATCTCTTGTTAGCGCCCTTTAGTACTTGACTATTACGGGTCTAG